ATCAAAGGCCTTTGTGAGATCTATGAAGGCCACAAAGAGTGGCTTTTGTTGTTCCCTGCATTTCTCCTGCAGCTGTCTGAGGGAGAATACCATGTCAGTGGTGGATCTATTAGCTCAAAATCCACACTGTGACTCTGTCTGCAAGCACCTGGAGCCTCTTCAGCACAACCCAGGCAAGCAGCTTCCCTACAATCCTAAGAAACATATGTTGTAAGCCGCCTAGCGTGGTCGTAATTGACCAGATAGGCTGGATATAAATAAAATGAATGAATGAATGAATGAATGAATGAATGAATAAATAAATAAATACATAAATACATAAATACATAAATACATAAATACATAAATACATAAATAAATAACGATGCAGAATTTAAACAATGGAAAGAAACTGGAATATATAGGATTAGATTTTTCTAAAAATTCCTACGCTGTGCTTTCTAGGGCTCATAGAAGCTGTGGTCCATCTGACACAATTCTGGACAGCTCAAGGTTTTGTCCTTCTACTGTCCATCTTCCGGCTTTCTTCTGTGAGAAACGCTCACACCCTTGTTATTTAATACACTAACCAAACAACCATGAATTCAAGTAGATTTCCTTTAATAAAAAGCACTTTTGCAAAAGCGGGTCTCCTAACTAGGTAGGAATACTAATCAATACAGATAGCTCGATATTTATTCCCTGTTCCCTGCCGCATGGTCCCTCCCTTGTTTTCCCATTGGTCCAAGATGTACAGCCTATCCGATCATGTGAAGGCCCACGCCTGTTTACATCTTCCATTCCCCATATTAACTTGACCCTAGACTCCTATTCCTTTTTCTCCTTATTTGGTACATGTTCCCCTTTTCTTAACCTTTGTGTGGTCATTCTTACTGACCCATACAGTTTCTTTATTATTAGCTAAGCTTAATTGTTCAATTTTCTTGTCAGTACAATAGGGTACCTCCCATATTTGTACTTTATTATTTTCTCAAGACTTCCCTAAATTCTATATGTCTGCTAAACAATTAACAAAGAGCATATAATGATTATTTACCATGATCATTTACTCAATCATCTTGTCCTTGCGGGGCCTGCAAAAGTGGCATCTATTCTCCTTTTTTCTCAAACTTGTATAAATGAATAAGACCCTCAACTGGACACATATGGAGGGAGCTGGAGATATCTGTGTTGTTAACTCATACATAGATATTCTAACCAAGAAACAGGGTTAAAATACGAAACCCTTTTACTAGTGAATTAATTCACATATGGCAGAAATATATGAATGTCTTGGCTCATCCCATATCTCCATTATGCTCTTTTCTGGACCATCCTAATTTTAAATTTCAAGATAACGATGCACAATTTAAACAATGGAAAGAAACTGGAATATATAGGATTAGAGATTTTATTTGAAAATGTTTAAAAATAAGTAAATAAATAAATTTATAAGAGAAAAACCAATTTCAACAGAACCACTAAAAGTTATAACTACTCAAGTAAAAGCTAATAGGCTCCAATTAATTCAAATAAATGTTTTTGCAGCCCAGCTCAGGTTCTACCAGAAAGCTCATGACATTAGAGGGCTATTGTATAGAAGATGATTTTAATAATAAAAAAATAGGATTAGTCTCAGTAATTTATAAAAACATTGTTAATGAAGAATATGGGAGAGATATGGGAATTAAGACAGTTTGGAAAACAAACTAATTTATCACAAGAATTGTGCACAGACATATGGACTGCAGAACTTTATAAATCAGAATTGGTTAAGTCTAGGGAAGTAGTATTAAAAACAGTTTATAGATGGCATCTGTGTCTTATAAAAGTTCATAAAATTAATAAGGAGATACTAGACATGTGTCGGAGAAAATGTGATCCAAAAGGATCATTGAAACATATGTGTACCACCTGTCCAAATGTCAAATCATTGTGGCATGGTAGAATAGAGTGCTTGTGTAAGTTAACACAATAAGAAACAGTTCCTGATGAAAACATTACTACTGTTCCTATCATTTACCAGAGAAGATTAGAATTTAGTTGCTCGAGTTGGTGGTGATTCTTGTAGGAGCTGGAGAATTGAAAGTGCCTGAATCTGGAGAAATGTTCAAGGACTTTCCTTCTGAAGATATTTGGATAGTGTGGGGGCAAGAGCATCAGTGGAAAATTGACTACTCATTTTAGATTGCTTAAAGGAGACATACAAGAAAATAATTTCATTAAAATTTGGTACCGTTTGTTACTTTTTGGTTTGGAATTAAACAGAAAAAAATGATAGTTTGAAAAGTCGACTGGGATATTGATCTGTTGTCTTTTAAATTTGATAGAATGAATATATTAAAGGACTGTAGGAATAGATTGGTATTATTTGTACTGACAAATATATTGCTGAGTAGGTGATTGGGTTATAAAAAAAATAACTTTTCTTTTTAAAAAAGAGCAGTTCTGGGGGTGTGACCTGGAACAAAATGGTGATAGGCTGAACTTCCCTAATATTCCTGCCCAATGGAAATAGAAGGCTGAGAAAAGGAGGATCTGGTCACTTATAGATAAGTAAATTAAGTACAGTACCCCGGGCAATAGGAGTGAAGTAGGAGTGAATTAAAGTGAAGCGGAATGCCTGCAACAGTTGTCAGAAGAAGGGGAGGGGGGCAT